CCGCTCCGAGTCGAGCCACGACGACGCTTCGACACTTTGAACCTTATGCATTTTTCAGTAATTAGTAAACACTGGTAAAACTGATAGTGCGAAAGGTAGTGTACAAAGCGACGGACTATTGCAGATCCGATACAACGGGCATTTTTGTGCCTCTTTCTAGGAGACAGAACGCGGCGATTCCTGATAAGAAGGAAACCGACATCTCTGCAATTTTGAGGCATATACCACGCAACAGAACTCTAACACATATTGTCGTTGTAAGAAATATATTTGTCATGGTAAGAAAGCTTGAACTGTTAGAGAGTTCTGTTTGCCGGTGTCACCTCGCTTGTTGCAGAGGCTCGATAGAGCTTCTTACACGAATATGCCGGTCACTGTACCAACTCCTATACGAAGATGGATCATCGTAATACGAGATCGTCTTCAGAGAGGATGCTACGGCCGCGCGAAAGTTCCTTTTCATCCTTAATGGGACAATGCCTCACTCTATTTATGCGTAAAGTGCCAAGTGAAAGTATTCCTTTAACATCGAGTAAATAGGATACAAGATCAGGAGAACAAAAAAAGTTATCAAACTACAAAATACTACAAATCGGATTTGAAATGAAATAGTTTTACTAAGAGCTATAACTACTTGCTCACTCATTCCAAAAGTCTCTTCTTGTTCATCAAATGCGATATCTCGAAATGTATTATCACCGCCATAAGGTATGAAATCGTAGACCATTCCGGAGATTCCGCAACGCAGAAACAATTTGAAGCCCCATTTCTTAAGCTTATTTTTGATATATTGGCGCCTAGAACCAGCTATTTTCCTTTGTAGGGAACCATCCTTTCGTCGATGGACATTCGTCTTTCTTCTTGAATTTTCAGAAAATTGCGTCGTACATGATCCATCACAGGTCTAATTTTATAATAGCGGTCGTCACTAATATAATTATTATCGACGAAATGTAGATAACGACGTATTTCTTGATATTTTTTCAGTGGCATTATGTCAGCTATTTTGTCATATCTAAATTGAATACTCCAATAATCTGTGTAAGCTGGCATCTTTACAATTCCCATTGACAGCTCTATTGCCAAAAAATCCGTCAATTCGTTTTTGTTCATATTGGTTGAGGTACCAGAACGTTGTTCAGAATAAAGGTTACTTTGATATGTTATCATTTCCAATAACGCATCATCAAAGAACATTTTAAAGTAAACAATTGGAGATAAAATCTCGTCTGGAACTTGAAAATTATCCTCATCAATATCTACCGGGTAACCAAAAGGTTCCTCTGTCCAGTTGTATATTTTTTCTTTGTTGGATTTGTTTTTCTTTTGAACTTTTTGTTGTTGTTTGTTTTTCTTTAAATTGAGAGGTGTATCATCAAGCTCATCTGCTAAGGTTTCGTCTACAACATACCCAATATGCTCATCTATCTCATTGTTTTTAGCACGTTCTGAATTTTCTACTTGTTTATTGTTTGCTTCGTTTTCCAAGATATCCTCGTTTTCGAGCAATACATTCGATAAAATAGTAAACTTAGATGAATTTTGAACCTAAGGGGGCGGGCGGTAACATAATATATTCTTCATTATCACTTTCAATATCGGAGTCAATATTTCTATTGAGAACTAATATATTATACTCACAATCCTCCTCATCATTTATTTGTTGAGTTGCTAATTGTAATATTCTCTTTGTTCTGTTGGACGTCATAATCTGAAACAAAGACGAACTTGAAACTAATACAAAGCTCCCATTATTAAAACTTATTGGAATACATTTGAGAAAAATCACAAAATAAATTAATTTTATACAGTTAACAATTCAGCGAGTACTACCCTGGATACCTGCTACTCGTCGTTCTTATTTAAATGGTCTAAAACGGGCAGTGTGTATTCAAATTCACATTTATTATTGTTCGTGTTATTGGCGATGTGAATTCAGATACACATGTTTTTTAGGCGGAGCTCACATTTTATAAAACATTTAAATTACGAAACTATTGACATATTACTAAAGGACAATACTTACCTTGTTCGATTTTATTCACAGAATTAAAATAACTTTACAAGTCACCACAAAAACTACCTTTATCTTGAGAAAAGTTGGTAAATTGAACCCGGCAAACGGTCGTTACAGAACTAACCTATAATAGTTGACAAATTTATTCCCGCCAAATATAAAAATTGCAACAGTGTAGTTATCTGTATAAAGAACAGGGGTGTATCGAAATACACATTGCTATATCTACGCAGATTTGGAGGCTTAAACTTTGTGAAAAAAAAATCTAAAACAGGTGTGTATTAAGATACACATTGTCCAGTTAAGTGTTAATACGAAAGCAAAACCGTATGCCAAATTTTGATTTATTGACTAAGAAGGCTTCTGGCTGAGTACAAAATAAACAACTGATCAAATCCTATCACGCGATATAGAAAATGAACGGGGAGCGGTAACGATTACTTAAGGATAGAAAAAACAAACGGCGACTACCAAAAGGGCACTATGAAGCATCATCGTTATTAATGGATTTATAGTTTCGTACGAGATATCATAGTACACTGTGGATGAAAAGTGTACTATGATAGTACTCGTCTGACTGAGTACAAGATAAACAACTGATCGAATCCTCACATGAGACATAGCAAATGAAGGGGAAGAATATAACGAATATATTAAGATAGAAAATCAATTACATATCTTAATAGATTCATTATATCGTCCCTTTTCATTTGCTATATCGCATGTTAGGATTCGATTAGATGTTTATTTTCTACTCAGCCAGAGGCCTTAATCTATATCCTATCAACTCTTATTCCTTCTTCCACCTCATCTTTCTGCATAAACTTAATTTTTTGGTCTTCCAAAGTTACCATTTTTTCTTCAAAATCTATCTTTACTTTCTTCTTTTCCAATTTGTCATTTTCCATTAATATATCAACACATAAATCCTTGACAACAAATCCTTTCATATTAATTTATTTATTAAGAATATTAATTTTAAAATTAGAAAGGACAGATCTACTGTAGATCAAATCTTCTCATAAAAGGAGATACAAACGACTTGTTATGAAGGTAAAGTTCCCCTGCATGTTTTGTTTGTGGATTTTAGACAAGCATATGATACGAGTCAAAATGTATCGAGTAATGGAACATTTGGGTATACCAAAGAAACTGATCCGGCTAGTAAAAATGACATTAAATAACTCTAAGTGTGAAATTACGTGGCAGGGTCGCATATCAGATCAATTTACGGTTGCAAAAGGCTTGAGACAAGGAGATCCTTTATCCACTACATTATTCAACTTAGTGTTAGAAGCTTAGTGCTTGGCATTTGCTGACGATTTAACGATCCTAGCAAAAACCGAGAAAGAATTAAGAAGAGTTGTAAAGAAAATCATCGAAGAAGCACAACAATTCGGATGAAGACAAAACCAAATATATGATCATGAGAGGAACAGAAGGAAAAAAAAGAAGACTTTAGTGTGAGGTCTGTAAGTGGTAAAACCTATAGTTTTAAAAGGGTGGACAAATTTGATTACTTGGGTGTAGTTTTTGATGAAAATGGAAAAGAGGAATGGGAGCTTGAGGCCAGAATAGCAAAAGGGAATAAAAAATTAGGTAGTTGAAGAGCCCTACTGAACTTAAAATACGTTTCTAGACAAGGTAAACTCCGAATATATAAAACAGTAATTCGACCCACAGTAACGTACGCCGGTGAGACATGGATATTAAATAAGGAAGAGGATACTCTGGAAAGATGGGAAAGGAAAATACTGAGACGCACATTCGGAGGACGGAAGACAGAAGATGGTTGGGAGAGAAGAACCAACAATGAATTATCGGCTTTATACAAAGAACCTACCATTACCAAGTTCGTCAAGTCACAAAGAATCAGATGGTTGGGACATGTGGAAAGAATGGAAGCAAACAGAATGCCCAAACTAGTAATAATCAGAAAACTAATCTGCCCCAAAAGAAGAGGTAGATCGAGAACGAGGTGGATTAATAAAGTGGAGGAAGACCTTAAACACGTGAAGGTGAGGGACTGGAAAAGAAAAGCACAAAATAGAAGCGAATGGAGAAATATTGTCCACCAGGTCCTTCAGAGTAGTTAAGAATGTTGTATATACATATTTAAGTTAAAGTTTTGTTTAAAATAATTGTAATTAGTTAATATTAGGATTATGTTTACAAAAATTGCCCTAGGCCTTAACGGCCTGTTGTGCGTAAAAATAAAATAAATTTTAAAATTGGCTAGTTTTTTAATTTCTCCCAACTTCTTATTATCGGCACCAACAATTTTAATTTTTAGAATCTTTATTATATCTGATAGTTTTTATGTATTAAAAATAAAATTTTCCGAGCCTAAAGTACTTTCTGAACCAGTATCTATCATAACATTAATCATTTTATTTTTGGCCATATCATTTATATAAATTAAATTAATAGATTCAATAATTTTATCTTCATCTAAAGAAATAAATTCAGAAGGTTTTTCGTAATGACAATGGCCCAATTTGTAATTCAGAAAGTTTACTGAACAAAATTTGGATTGTTAGAACTATCAGATTGTGTCTGACCACTTGGATCTAATATAGCATTTATATAAATTAAATTAATAGATTCAATAATTTTATCTTCATCTAAAGAAATAAATTCGGAAGGTTTTTCGTAATGACAATGGCCCAACTTGTAATTCAGAAAGTTTACTGAACAAAATTTGGATTGTTAGAACTATCAGATTGTGTCTGACCACTTGGATCTAATGCCCTGTGTCTTTCATTACTTTGACTTCTACTCATATTTTCTTGCCTTGTACTATTTCGTTCACTATCTTTGCAGCTTCTATTCCTTCGTACATAATTTATCTGTCTGTTGTAATTAGGTCTTTCTGTATTTCTCCTATTGTTAAAATCTTGTTAAAATTTTACAACTTCAAGAGCTTCTTTCTTTATTTCTTAGTTCAGGTCAAATGTTTTGTCATTTTTCAATTTTTGGGCTTTTATTCTTTTTCGGTTTTAATTACATCTTCTTTATTTTTATTTTGGTCCTTTATGTAGTCTTCCTTTTGTTTTATTTCGTTTGCTTGCTAAAATAATAAAATTAATATAGTCTAAATATAAAAATAAACCTCATCTCAAATGAAATTACCTGACTTTTTTCTTTTTGAGTTATCATTTTACTGGGACCTGGGGTATCTTGTACTGGAAATGGATCATTAGTAGTTCGCAACTCGCTGACACTGTTGACAATTTCAGAACAGTTGTGATGTTGTGCTGAGTTAATCATATAAATTTCTGTGTCACCTCAAATAAATTTGTATTAATTTTTGCTTCAATCTGAATATACAGAAATGTATTCTCAGAAATTTATAACTACAAATCATACTTAATTACCTAAATGTTCTATTTTATATATCTTCAATATCTAATCTCTCTTATGAGTATATTGTAATGTAAACAAATTGTTACCACCTGTCTTCATAAAACGAAGTACTGGAATCATGCACATTTGGGAGGGGTTAAAATTGTTCTTTGAGTGCTCTTAACAATTTTTCCTTACAAGGTAATAATATGGTTGTAGTTTGCTCTGGACCACCTCCTATTTTATATTTTTCTACATACGCAAATTTTATTTCATCCATTAAAAACCTTTTTTAAATTATTGTTATATTGTTACGTTTTCTACGGCTTGTTTCTTTTTAATCTTTTTTTTATATTTTCGTAAAATGTTTTTATTTGCTTTGAGGTGCGATGCGTGTTTACATTCATAGCATTAAATTCTTTACTAATGTTTTCCCATGCAATGGCTTTTTGTTTGTCACACCGTCCGTTTGTTTATTTTCTATAATAAATTTATATTTAATTGCTAGATCTAAAATTATATCTTTCTCTAGACTAGAGAAGTCTAGAGAAGGCTTCCTTATTTTCTATCTTAAGTACACACTATACACAAACAAAATTGCAACAAAACAATGTTATTATAATAATCAATTGAATTGACACAACCTTACAAAACTTTCTTTGTTGAAAATATTTTAGACAGATCACACTCCGATTCGAATGAAATAATCTGTACTCGTGCAATGTTGCCACGAATAAATTGTCGGTTTGTAAACCAATAGTTTTTTAGAATGGTGCAACTCGTTTGAAAAATAACCAATGATCGTTGATTTAAATTGTCGAATTGACGGTTATGAAATCAGTTGATTTACAGTCTGTAATAGAGTGATTTTTTATATTCGTAAGTGAGAGCGCCCACCAAAGTGGCGTGGCACGTGGCATGTAGCAAGTAGCACGCGTCTAGCATGTTACTTAAAATGTAACCAATGAAAACGAATGATTCAGCGCACACCAAAATGACAGTGACGTCATTCGATCTAATAATTCGTTTGCATTGGTTATATTTTATGTAACATGCTAGACGCGTGCTACGTGCCACGTGCCACGCCACTTTGGTGGGCGCTCTCTCTTAGGATAATTGTAAAAAAATAATAAAAACATATAATATACATATTACACAATGTTTGTAGATTATTATACATACATATAAATAAATATACATTGAAATCAATAAACATTATTATTATTATCCAGATTTAGCCATACGGCTCACACTCCCTCTAAGGGGAAAATTCACTCATCCCAGATACCTACGGTATCAAAAGGATTGAGCTCTGGTGGGACTCTTTCCGTGTTATCGAGCCCTAGGTGACTTGGTATGTTGGAGTATCTCCCAAAAATTTTCGTACACATCTGGACGTCGCGAGGAGTACAGCTTTCTGCATGGCCTTATAAAGATGTTCATTTAGACCCAGCTGTTTTATGTTTGCTAGGAGGTTTTTGGGAATAACACCAGTAGTAGATAGAACAATAGGTACTGTCTGGGTACTTTCCATTCTCCATTGTCTCCTGATTTGTATTTCTAGATCTCTGTACTTGGCGATCTTTTCGTTGTATTTAACACCTAAATTATTGGTGTTGGGTATCGCCACATCAATAAGTGTTGTTTGTCTAGTAAGTTTATTAACTAGTATGAGATCCGGTCTATTATGGGCCACTGGTTGGTCTGTAAGCACAGTGCGGTCCCAGTATAGCTTGTAGTTGTCATTTTCAAGCATTCTATCAGGGGCGTATTGATAATAAGGAAGATGGTCGGTTTGGAGAAGTCCCAGTTTGTCAGCTAGTTCTTGGTGGATAATCTTTCCTACTGAGTCATGGCGTTCTTTATAATCAGTACCGACAAATGCCTGGCAGCCACCGGTAAGATGTTGGATGGTTTCTTGGGCTTGGCATCCATATCGGCATTTGTCATTTTGGACTTGAGGATCTTTAACAATATATTTCAGGTAATTTTTAGTTGGAATAACCTGATCCTGAATGGCAAGTAGGAAACCCTCAGTCTCGGGAAACATCTTTCCTGATGTCAACCAATAGTTCGACGCTGTATTGTCGACATATTCTTGATTGATCTCATTGAGATGTCGCCCATGCAGAGGTTTACTCATCCAGGTGCGCATTTTTTCTTGCTGAGTCAGGTGGTTTATGTGCATTTCTTGTTCCCTCAGTTTAAGCGGCGTCGTATCATCTACTGCGCAAATTGCTCGATGTAAAGTAGATGTCTCAGCCTGTACCTGAAAATAAGATCTTAACTTAGCAATTTGTTTATCTAATTGCTCACCTATATCCATAAGTCCTCTTCCCCCTTGATACCGCGGTAATGTTGTTCTGTCTACTGCACTACGTGGATGATGTTTTTGCGTCTTTGTGAGAAGTGTTCTTACGTTCCGCTGAAGATTATTAATTATTTATTAATTATTATTATTATCCAGATTTAGCCATACGGCTCACACTCCCTCTAAGGGGAAAATTCACTCATCCCAGATACCTACGGTATCAAAAGGATTGAGCTCTGGTGGGACTCTTTCCGTGTTATCGAGCCCTAGGTGACTTGGTATGTTGGAGTATCTCCCAGAAATTTTCGTACACATCTGGACGTCGCGAGGAGTACAGCTTTCTGCATGGCCTTATAAAGATGTTCATTTAGACCCAGCTGTTTTATGTTCGCTAGGAGGTTTTTGGGAATAACACCAGTAGTAGATAGAACAATAGGTACTGGGTACTTTCCATTCTCCATTGTCTCTTGATTTGTATTTCCAGATCTCTATACTTGGCGATCTTTTCGTTGTATTTAACAAGCAAATTGTTAGTGTTAGGTATCGCCACATCAATAAGTGTTGTTTGCCTGGTAATTTTATTCACTAGTATGAGATCCGGTCTATTATGGGCCACTGGTTGGTCTGTGAGCACAGTGCGGTCCCAGTATAGCTTGTAGTTGTCATTTTCAAGCATTCTGTCAGGGACATATTGATAATAAGGAAGATGGTCGGTTTGGAGAAGTCCCAGTTTGTCAGCTAGTTCTTGGTGGATAATCTTTCCTACTGAGTCATGGCGTTCTTTATAATCAGTACCGACAAATGCCTGGCAGCCACCGGTAAGATGTTGGATGGTTTCTTGGGCTTGGCATCCATATCGGCATTTGTCATTTTGGACTTGAGGATCTTTAACAATATATTTCAGGTAATTTTTAGTTGGAATTACCTGATCCTGAATGGCAAGTAGGAAACCTTCAGTCTCGGGAAACATCTTTCCTGATGTCAACCAATAGTTCGACGATGTATTGTCGACATATTCTTGGCTGATCTCATTGAGATGTCGCCCATGCAGAGGTTTACTCATCCAGGTGCGCATTTTTTCTTGCTTAGTCAGATGGTTTATGCGCATTTCTTGTTCCCTCAGTTTAAGCGGCGTTGTGTCATCTACTGCGCAAATTGCTCGATGTAAAGTAGATGTCTCAGCCTGTACCTGAAAATAAGTTCTTAAATTAGCAATTTGTTTATCTAATTGCTCACCTATATCCATAAGTCCTCTTCCTCCTTGATACCGCGGCAATGTTGTTCTCTCTACTGCACTGCGTGGATGATGTTTTTGCGCCTTTGTGAGAAGTGTTCTTACTTTCCGCTGAAGACCCTCTATATCCGTTTTTGACCACTTTATAATACCAAATGAGTAGCTCAGCGCGGAACAGGCGTACGTATTTAATGCCTTAAACAAATTTTTACTATTAAGATATGACCGATTTAGTTGTCTTATTCTTCGCACGAACTCCGAAGTTAGTTCAGTTTTCATCTGTTTATGGTCAATTTTCCGCGCCTGTTTTACTCCGAGATATTTGTAAATATCATTTTCACCCATTGCCTCGATGTTTTGGCCATCTTGCATATCGAAACCTCCGGGCTGAACCTTTCCTCTGACTATATTTAGTATACGGCACTTGTCTAGTCCAAAATGCATACTGATATCATTTGAGAAAGTTTCTACAGTTTTTAGCATCTCATCTAGGTGGTTTCGGGTGGAAGCCATTAATTTTAAATCATCCATATAAAACAGATTATTAAGCTTCGCTACAACGGTGTTGTTATTTTTGACGCTAAATCCTGAGTCAGTAGAGTTCAGCAGCTGAGATAGTGGGTTCATCGCTAGGCAGAACCAAAGTGGACTCAACGAGGAAAGTCGATTATCTTCGGATTACCTATATTGAACAAAACGTAAGATATGCATAAATTATTTTCTTTGTTAAAATATATTTGAGTGACGTGAATAAGCTTAAGAGAAATCCTAGACAATGGATGCGGGTTTTCCAAATAAATTTGTGCAGTAATTAGGACAATAGAATAGTTTTTAGAAAGATATGTTTTTGTTAGTTCTTAAGAATTGGTAGAAAAAGATTAGTTTTTAAATAATGTTCGGAAATTTTATAATTGTAGGTAAAAATTTGTTTGTGTTATCGAAATGAAGAAATGGGAGAGGTATGACGCGTTTTGATTGGATGAGATTGAAAAAAGTGGGATGGTTGGTTTGAGAATCGGACTTTAGTGAGTTTTTGAAGAAAAAAAGATAGTCAGTTGGTTTTCCAAGGGTACAAGGCGAACGGCCGTGGTTCTCGGGTAGTTTCCCAGAGGTAGGAAGCAGTAGCAGTGAAAGTTTGTGAGTTTTCGTGTAGTTAGTGTATCTGACAGAAGCTGATCCAGTAAAAGATTATCAAATACATTACCGGCAAACCTGACGATTCAGACTTCGAACTCCTCAAATCTCATCTCGCTGCAATCGAGCTTAATCAACACGAAATAATAAAAAAGTATAACAATCAAATCTCTTATGGCGAAACCTTCAACACCAGATTCGACTTACTTCTTAAAAAGTTAAATGATACAAAAACGTAGTTTAAAAAAACACATTGTAAACTA